ACCCGTTGCTGTTGTTTATGCTGTGTTTTCTGTTCTGATGATCTGCATGGCCAGCCACTCGTGTGTGTAATAGGTACACTGTGTGTGGCTGTGTGTCTGCTGGGAGTAAGTGCTCAGTCTCACTACTGGCTGAATGAGGAAACATAGAGCTAGGGCAGACTTTCTTCTCACAAGCTACCAGACTCAGCAACTACTAACAGCCTACATCATCACTCTGTATTTGCCCTCTTCCATGTAGGTGCCAAAGACAGGAAGGCCTTCCTGAAACATCCTTACACTTGTACTGCACGGCTGACCACAACATCCTTTAGGTGTAAAAGCTGTTACCTAAAAAAGGAGCATCTCTGAGAAGTAGAAATCTGAAAATTATATTCTTCTAAATACATATATATCTACAGCTTGTCAAACTGGCTTAGCTTTTCCTTGTATTCTCTCAGCCCCAATGGGAGATCATTCACTTCACTTTCTCATGATTTTTTAATTCACTTCATCCTGTGGTTTCTCAGAATTGTCTTGTAGGAACTACTGCCTAATGCACTTTCTAGTAAAACAGTTTATACTCTGACAACTGTCACTCAAAGCAGTATAGAAATTCACTTATGTTCCTGCTTATTTAAATCAACAACCACAAGAATGACATTTGCTTGACAAAACTGTTACACCTTAAAAAACAGCAACGAAAAATTTAGCAATACAATTAAATTTATCCTCTTTTGCAATGTTCTTACTCAATTACAAAGTATTCCATTGACATCTGACAAAATTCAGTTGAAATTTGAAATTTTCAGGTCAGTATCCCTGTCAAAATAACAGATTATCACTGTAAATCTGGTTATATCATCCCATAACAAACCAAAGCTGCATTTTTTTATCCAAAGTGAATGCATCTTGCTATTTCTAGTAAAAATGTAAGAATACCATACAAAATGTCATGCAGTTTCAGGGAGACTCTTATCGTTTTCAAGAAGTAGGAGATGGGAGACTAGAAGAGCAAACCAGAAAGCTATTTCATTGAGAATGAAAATAATGAAAACTGGTTTCCTATGGATTTGTGCTATGGATTGAGCTCTACGTGACTTTTCTCCTTCCAAATAAGGATCTTGTTTATGCTGCGTAATTCATTAAAAGGGTCTTCCTCTTATATCCAGACATGTACGTTTGAAAAATGTACAGCAACTTATTGGATTTTTTACTTTTTCCCCCCGTCTGCAATTGCCCATGCAGTTTACCATGCTGTACTGGGAGAGACAGAGGACTATGTTCTTTGAATGCTGGTTGCTCTCTGTTGCTTACAATAGTAAATTCAATCTCACAAATACTCTCCAATACCATATATTTATTTAGAACATTTGATCTATTTATTTCTATTATTTATTTCTATTTTTAGGAAATACTTTCAGGAATTTCTTCTGTTTTGGGGGACATAACCATTGCTGGAATTAACATAAAGGATTTCTACTGCACGATCCACACAAAAAAAGTCCTATAGGTAAATCTCTGATAGAAGGAGGACCACAGCTTTCATCTAGAGGAAGCTCTGCATGTAGCTAATGGCTTATCTCTCTGGGAAGTTTAAGATTAAAGACGGTCAAGCTGTAGATGCTCAATGCTTTCTCTCAGACACCTGCTGATGCCATGATTGCCTCACAGGCCAAACGAAAGTCAACTCTGAAATACCATCACTAGTATGATTAGATGGCCAGTGGTATACAGCCAGACCCACTATCTGAGAGCAGGAGAATTCTCTGCAGGGGAGAACATGGACAAAAAATAAGGAACTCTCTAATACAAAGTGTTATTTTTTTAAAAAGCAGGGTTCCCTATCCTGATGCAAGCAAAATGCTGTACCAGCTTGAGGTATTGTGAATCAAGAAGACAAGTTCTATTGCAGAGAAAGAAAAGGGTTCCAACTTAACCATTCTGTCTTCAATGAGGGGAAAAACTCCAAAACCCAACACCAGATAAACCAAGGCCTGAAACTGTAATGAGGTACTGTGCCTACCTCGAGGCAGAGTGCTGAAATGTAAACTCCTGCCTACTGAGGCAGGTCAGAGATGGTAGATTACACTCTCATTCCTTCCAGCTTCTACTCTAGGGAATACCATAAATATCCTAAATGGCCTCTTTTCTTAGTCACTGGTCTGGAAACTTGCAGTTAATTAATTTTACCCCATTCAACATAAAGGTCTAGGACTCTATCCAACTTTTTTTTAGTTAACATCCAGCAATAAATGCAAGCTTCCCCAGGCTTAGCTAACAGTTCATAAAAATGATTGGCAGCTCCTTCTGAGGTCTCCACAGATCACCCAGAATCACAGCCTGCCCCTGGAACTGCACAGGGGGTCTTTTTTTAAATACTTCTTTCATGGCCTTGCCCAATCACACAATTCAATTCAGTATGAACTGAATTTTACTCACCCTCACCTAGCAAAAGAAGAGTATAGGTACTTGGTCAGGAAAATATTTTGAACTGGGAAATTCTTAGGAAAAAATTACTACTTATTAAGTTACCCATACTGGAAGAGGAAAAGCTGGGTTCTTCTCATCCTGGAAGGTATAAAACCCATGTACCTATTTTCTTTCAGAGTTATCTACACTGCTAGGGTATGTGCTCTTTCTACTTATTTCACCTAAACATCTCCATCCAAGAATGCAAAAATCCCAGGATCAGGAAAGCACATAGGCTGACTCCAAACACTACTGGTTCCAGCATACAGCTACAGAGACAATAACTTGTGCCCTGCAACTCGTGCTTCTTGAACAACCTGCATCTTCTACATAGTCACTGATTATAGAATATATATATATATATATATATACATATCAAAGGGAACAAGCTTAAATAGTAGATCTTTGACAAAATATGCATAAAAATTCCAGTTAACGTAGCAAACATAAGGCCCTCTTAACAACAAAACTACAAAAGCATAACTGGCTTAACTACTTCATGGCTTTCATGCTTTTAAATGACTTCAACCTAAACAGAGCTTTCAGGAAGAGAAAACATTTTATAGTAGAAATTATAATGGAAATAAAAGTGAAATGCTAACTAATTTAAGCCCTGGTGCTGCAACTACTTTGCTTACAAATCTGTTTGCAAGAGAAATGTTCTAATCACACAGAGAAATAACTATTGAGAGTCTTGTATCTGAAAATGGATGAAAGAGTTCTTAGAATACCAGAAAACAAGAGTTCTGTCAAACAGTAGTGATAGCCTTAAAATTCTCCACACGCACTTCTGAAAAAGAAAGGGTTGATTTGTAAAACCTAGTAAAACTCAACATCGAACAAAACAACATTGTCTGGGTCTCTTTATGTGGCCTGCCTGGGAGACCAGCCAACAGACTGATTTGTTTAATATTATACAGAAAACCTACCTGTAAAATCAATCATGGTAAGCTCTGCACAGGAAGTTCAGGGCAAGGGTGAATTAGCCAGTTGTCAAGTGCTGTTCTTGTGTTAATAGTCCATTCAAATATGCAGTTCTTCTCTGCAGTTCTCTCTTTAGATTAAAGATGCCTGACAAACACCCACAAGAAGTTAACATCACAATTTCACTGATCCTAAAAAGCCACCAGAACAAAGTACTGGAATGTAAACTATGAAAATGCGGTTTTCATTTTAGATGACAAGGGAAGCTGTCTTTGTTACTTCTCGACCCCCCGACCTCCCAAGAGTCATGCCAGAGTTGTCAAGTTTTTTTAATTAAGTATTTAAGCATGAAACATGCTCCACATGTAGTCATCCCTTCTAAGAATATAAAACAATACAAGAGTGGCCATATGTAATGTACACATCAAAAATATTTTGTTCAATTTATGGAAATACCCATCTACTGTGAGGTGCACTCTACCTGCTGATGTGCACATTTCATCTGGCTGACAAGGATACTCATTATCTTTGTGAAAATGATGAATAACCTTTAACTCCTTGAGAAATTACTGAAAATTAAAGCCTGACAAAGATGGGCTGAACCTGAAGTGATCCATTCTAATGAGGCAAACAGAAATTGGAATGTATCCCTTCCATACTCCAGTATCTTTGGGTAACCATTTTAGTGCTTATGGCCAGGCAGGAATCAGTATTTCTTGGTGTCCAGGCATCACTTCACCCAGACAGAAGCCTGTGCACCACAGTCTCCTCCACACAAAAATCCTTTTCCTTGCTCCCTTACTGCTCCCCATCATGAAAGTGTAAACAAATAAGGAGGCCCTATGCAGATGGCATTTTGGGATGCAGATGTCTATCAGCATCTTTGTTAAACCTGCCAGACCTTCCCAATTTGCTTAGCTCTGCAACAATCCCCTGGTAGTATATCAACCTCCCTATTTACATGTGCTGCCTGCACTGAGTTGTATCTGCTCAGCTTGGAGGTTATGTGGAAACCTACAGCAACCTTTCAGTACCCGAAGGAGGATACAGTGATGCCAGAGAGGGACTCTTCCTCAGGAGCATAGTGACAGGACAAGGAGTAAAGGGTACAAACTGAAAGAGGGAAAAATTAGGTTAGATATTAGACGTATTTTTTTCACTGTGAGGGTGGTGAGGCACTGGAGCAGGCTGCCCAGAGAGGCTGTGGATGCCTCAACCCTGGCAGCGCTCAAGGCCAGGCTGGATGAGGCTTGGTCTAGTGGGAGGTGTCCCTGCCCATGGCAGGGGGCTTGGGACTGATCTTCAAGGTCTATTCCCACACCTTAACATTCTATTATTGTATTAATATTCTCAGACATGTGACAGCTAACTGGAAAAAGAACACGATGTCCCTCATCTACGAAAAAAAATCCACTCTTTTTTTTTTTTTTTTTTTTTTTTTTTTTTTTTTTTTTTTTTTTTTTTTTTTTTTTTTTTTTTTTTTTTCCCCACTCTTCCCTAACCTTAAATCGCGTCCCTCCCCTTTTAAACACGACAGCCGCCCCTGCCTGGCCCCGCCTCCGAGGCGGCCTCATGCCGGGCCGGGCCCGTCGTGCCCGAGGCCTCGGCGGTGCCGCCCGCCCGGGGCGGGGCCAGGCCGGGGCGGAGCGGGAGCGCGGCGCGACCCCGTCATGTCCAAGCACGTGTTTCTGACGGGACCCCCAGGTAATGGCGGCGGGAGGAGCCCGCGGAGCCAGGCACGGGCGGTGGCACGGCCGAGGGGATGCCTTGGGACACGGCCTGGCCTGGCTTGCCTTGCCTTGCCTTGGCCCGGCCCGGCCCGGCCCGGCCCGGCCCGGCGCGGCTCTCCGCGGTGCCAGCGGGGCTGTGAGGCGCTTTGAGCCGGGGGAAGGCAGCTGCTGGCGGGCCCCGGGCTCCGCGGAAGCGCTGGGAGCGCCTCCAGCTGCAGCCGGGCCCGGCCCGGCCCTGCCCTGCCCGAAGTTCCACGGCTGCGGGCCCCGAGCTCCCCCCTCCCCCGTGTCGAGGTCAGAGCTGTCGCACTAATTAGTTTGTTCCTAATGAAATGCCACTTTACCTCTCCATTCAGTCTGTGGGAAATAGAAAAGAGCCAACACCAGTCTTTCAAGGCATGCACTTTTCCAGGCGCTGCTGCTTTTTCCCTGGCTTCTGCCCTGGAAAAAAAAAAAACCCTGGACAACTAATCCTGCTTCAATATAAACTGCAGCGATTAATAATTTCTGAGAGCTCATCTTTCCTGTAATTTAATTGCAGTGATTTAGCACTTCCAGCCTCAGTGAAGTGCAGGTGTAGGTAATAACTGTGTCCCGGATGGGCAGGCCTTGATTGAAGAAGTGGAGTAGTTTGTCATGGTAAGGGAATCTGATTATTCTGGAGGCTGTGTAGGACAGAGTATGAGGGTCAAACTGTACGGTTGATTAAGAAATTAACTAGTTATTATCATTGCGTAGCTTTCCTTTGTGGTGTGGGAGTAAAGGGGTGGCACTAATTCTCTTCTTTGTGAGCCTCTTGCAGATGTCTGTCTTGACTGGAATTAATTTAAAATGCTGCTGTTAGGCTGAGATAGGAATACATTCCACCCACTTCACACTGGCTTTCCAACTGCTTGAATAAAGGCAGCCTTGCAGGAGATGCAGAGGTTAGGGCTGCTTAGGTCTTGTCTCTCAATTTATCTGAAACTGGATGTACTGTTTTGATTAGCTAAATGTCTAACTTCAAGCTTTCTTAAACTTTTGAATCACTCTAGCTTGTTTGGCAGTTTACTGAATAAATGCGAACAAATTGGAGATAGCAAATCCACTTAGAAAAATTAACATAAATCCACTTACAAGAGACAAGGCCTTGAAAAGATGTTAGATACTGTGGGTGCCACTTTTGTCATTTTTTTGATGTTCAACTGCTAGGAACCCCTCTTCTTCAAATTTGAAAAGTTTGCCTAAGCATTTGACTACATGCCTTTGAAGCCACAGAATATTTTGCCATTGGTATTGACTGTTAGGAAAGCAGTTTCTAAATCTGCTTAAATTCGAAATTTGGCGTGTGCGTGTTGAAATGATTTCTGTTGGCATCTTTAGGCATCTCACATGTGGCCTGTGTCCCTCATCTCCAGGAATTTGAAGGTTTCTTCTGCAGGATTATTTTCTACCATCTGAATTTTTAAGAGCAGTGATTAAAAATTAAGTGATAGCACTGAATTTTGTGGGAGGCAATAAAGGTGAGTTTAAAAGGCGATTGTTGAGGGATGTACTTGTACAGTGGCAAAGGAAAAGAACTGAAAGGGTGTCTGGAACATGGCCAGTGTTCACACTGTAAAAGGTGCATCAGACTGTGCAAGGAGATATCAGGTGGTGAGAGTTTAAAGGACTTGTCTTAGGGTAAGAAAATTAATTATAGGGTCAGAAGATAATTCATGTTAAAAGGGACTTGAAGAGATTTAAAGGAGTATCAGCTATGAGGCCAGAACAGGTTGTTTAAGCCTTTATCCAGTCATTTCTTGAAAACATTAAAATATGTGCAGATTGCACAGCCTCTCTGGGCAACCCGATTCATGGCTTCATTGCCCTCACAGTAAATGAGCTTTTCTCTGTATCTAGTCAAGATGTCTCTTGATTCGGTTACCAGAAGAAACATTTTTTCTATTGTTGGGACTTCATAAGGACTTGGTATCTCAGGGACATTGAGTGCTTCCAGTTTCTAGGACATCAGTGGAAGAAGTGTGTCCTTTGTGCCAGTTAGACATCTGGTAATAGCAGTCAGCTTTGACCTTTTGATCTAAAAAGAGGTTGAACTTAACTTTCATCTTAAAAGTAGTGAATATCAGTGGTAGAAAGGAAGATTCATCAGTCAGTCTTCCAGCAAGGTTGGATATCAGTTTTGTATTTATCTGCCTTATAAGTTTTGTGGCCTGCTCATGCATCATCTAAGTAACAAATTCATTGGTAGCCTGGGATATTTGTACCATTCTGTTGTGAAACTTTATAGTGTCAGTACACGATGAACTTTAAAAGATGCTTCTGTTCTTTCCTACCATTTAGAAAAAGTAATTTGCAACCTTCAAAAGTAATCAATGTTCCCACTGAACTGAATCATTACTGCAGCATTTAAAAAAAATGGGCTTTTAGTGCAGAAGAAGATTAATGCTGTGTGCTTTTTTCCCCTTCTTTGTTTTTAGGGGTTGGAAAGACTACTTTGATCCAGAAAGTCACTCAAGCTCTAAAATCCTCAGGTGTTTCCATCGATGGATTTTACACACAGGAAGTTAGAGAAGGTGGCAGGAGAACGGGATTTGATGTTGTCACTCTGTCTGGAAACCGAGGACCTTTATCTAGAGTCAGGTACTGAAGTTTTAATAACTGTAAGCAGCTTATTGTTTTACATGTCTGCTCCAGTCCTTTGGCATGTTAAATGCTCCTCCAGAAGGTGATTTCCAGCACACATGGCTTTCATGATCAAGTTCTTTGCTTGGTTTTTGTGTCTTGCCCGATGCCTGTGTTGTGTATGTGTAGGCAGTGTCTGTTGCACAGTGAAATATTGAAATGTGATGGGCAGGGGTGTTCTCCCTTACTGGCTATTTTACACCAAATAGAGGAAGCACTGCTTAGCCTTTTACTGTCAGGCCAAGTCCCCCAAGTTAAGTAGCTTATTGTGGGCAGGGAGGAAGATTTTTGTGTTTCCACTAACTGATTTATGGAGACAGAAGTGGAAAATGAAAAGCAAAATTGCATATAGCATTGTTTTAAAGAATATTTGACTGGTCCACAAAACTCGCCTGTGAATTTTAAGAAAAAAAGGGTTTCAGAGCCCCACAGGGGGCCTCTGAAGTGCAGACTGCCTCACAGACTCCTGATTCACTAGACTTAGATTTTCATACTTTGTACAAAACTTGGTCTATGTCCAGTGTGACCTTAGCACCTCACTCACACAGAATTGATGTGAGAGTAATTTGCACTCTGCTAATAACAGAGGTGCACCTTGCACAGTGTGGTACAGCACATGCAAAGTGAGTATTTTTCCAAGATTAGGGGGTTTGCAGCCCATACTGAGATTACTGAGATGATACTGCTATGATGCTATCTGTAGTGTCAGATTACAAAATTCGAAGATCTGAACTGCTGACATGAGTTTTAATTTCAGTGTAAATATACTTGCTGACTTTTAAATGCCATTGTCCTTCTATACACTGTTGAAGTTTGAGCTTGCATAGTTACAAAGGATGCATATGGTATATTTATTATCTGACAGCAAGCTATCTGCAGTATGACTTACTGCATGGTTTAGAATTTCCTTCCCTTTCTTTCTAAGAAGAATTAAGGGAATTTTATTTATTTGGATAACTTCTTATAAATTCACTTGAAATGACTGCAGTGAATTCTCACTAAACTCAGTACTTTGAAGGAATTGTGTATCTCCTTTTCAGTCCCAGTTCTGATTCTTCTGCTTCAAGACGTGAATACCGGGTTGGACAATATGTTGTAGACCTTGTTTCATTTGAGCAGTTGGTTCTACCTTTGCTGAGAAATGTGAGTATTCTATGAAAGCTGCTGAGAAATGTATGCTTTATGATAGTGTTTTTAGGAGGACCCTTCTACACAGATGGTTTTTGATACTAATGGCCTGTTTCTTGGATATTGCTAGTTCTAATTGACTTCAGGGTCAGGAAGCTGGAGGGGCAAATCTGGGTTGTTCTCTTGTTATTATTGTGGTGTTGGAGAGATTGCAGTCCTGTGAGCAGGACCTCCTTGACCTGAAGAGGCAGCAGGTGGGAAATTTCTCCTATATCACTGTCTCATTTTGTTTGGAAAGCAAACAAAATGCACAAGTGGCTTGCCACAGAGAATTGGATAGAATCAGAGGGTCTAAGAAAAAGGCTTTTGCTGCTGCTCTTCTTTACAGACTTCTTCCCCTCTTGCAGTAGAAGCATTTGTTTCGTGAATTCAGTGAGTATTTTTGATTACTGTTTCATAAATACCTGCAGACATAATACCAGCCTGATTATTTGGGCTTTAGCCTGCTGCACAAGGAGTGCTCTGGCTGTGACAAGACTTCCCACACAATCTTTTCGCTATCCTTTTGCTAATATTCCTTCACTGCTTTTTTCACTTCTCCTTTCTCTCTCTCACTCCAACCTTTCCCCTTTCCAAAATTAAACAAGAACAGGTTTGATTTTGGCAATAATATACCACAAACAGTGTGCAGCAGCTGCTGATCTGTCCTACTCAAAAAATCCTGTTGTGATTTTTCTACACTGCCAAAGCTCAAGGGGACAAGGAAGAAGGGATTTTTTGGTAAACTTAAAACAAAAAAACCCAAAGAGGTGCAAGGAGCAAAAATGAGATCGAGGATCTGATTCTTGTTTTTGTCAAAGAACATTGAAGTCTGAGAGTAGGAAAGCAATGATGTTGGGGCAAAGGAGAAGGGAAATAATAAAAAAATGGGAGAACTTTTATATGTTAAATTTTGCTGTAACTATATTTATGACGTTACTAAATAGAAAGATAGTTTATTTAAAAAATACTTCATTAGGCCAGTTCTGTACTTGGAATCCTTTAACCACTGAAATCCAGGAGAGCTCTTCCTAGAAAAGTGTTAGTGGTGTTGAATTTTTTACATATATAGCTTTCTGCACGTACAAGAAGGTGAAGAGAAGAATTGGGGCCCGCAGAGTCACACAGTGCATGTGCCCTTGCTCATAGAAAGTGCTGTTTATCAGTTTTATGGGAATGTGGTCATACATGAAGATGGCCCAAAATGGAGGAGGAGAGTGAGGAAGATCAGAGAACTGAAACAAATGAAGAACGAAGGGAGAAGAGTCATAGGTATGTTCTGGTTTGATGAGAGAGCAGCACAGAATAGGCACATGCCCATTTAAACTTGAGCTCTTAAGGCTTTGTTCAGTCCAATGAGAATTAAGTAGATCCTGCAGTGGAAGATATCTCTGGTTCTGCAAACTTTATCAGGCAAGACTGATAATTTCTAAAGTTTTTTTTCAAAGCAGAATACTCTCTTCCTCCATATGTGACCTAGTGACTAGTATTGGCTTTTTGGCTCACTGATCTATGAAAGGATTTTTAGATAAAACAGCTACTCAGTAGGGACTTGGCTTGAAAGGATTTTAGGATGCATATTATACAGTTCTTTCACTTTCCCAGAAGCAAATACTTTGCCTTCACAAGGGGAGATGTTTCGATCTTTTTCCTTTTTTTTTTTTTTTTAGTTTCTGTATAATATGGCTTTTATTGGTACATACTCATGGATCTATAATGGTTTTGAATTGAGTAGATTTTTCTCCTCACTCTTCTCACTTCTACAAATAATGGAGTACAGTTCTCAGTCACTTTTACCAAACTAGGATAGGCAGTACAGTTGAAGAGTTCCTCTGCTTTGTGAGCTGCCTTTTCCTCAGTAGCAATCACCCTTGTTTTCTCCTGGACTTCTCTGCTGCTCCAGCCAACTGCAGCACGGCACTGTTTGGCATAGCATTCACTTCATGAAAAAAACAAACTAGCCTCAGATTTGCTTAACTATGTCTCTCCTACTATCCAGTGGCTAGGACTATAGAATAAGGTATATCTCAATATGCATCTGTTCTAATGTGAGAGTGGCTTGCAAATGGCTTGGTTGTTATCCAGACAGCTTTGAAGACAGCCAGTAGCTCTCAGTAAAATGCTCCATTATCCCAACTACAAGAGGAGAAGCTTCCAAATCTAGATTTAATGGAAGTCTTCTTTTTTTAGATACCTGTTTTGTGTGACTACTGATCACATAATTAAGTATGCACAGTTTAATGAGAAGAGTAAAGTATTTAAAAACTGCTGACCCTCAGAATGACTGAGAGCTGCTCATAGGCAAAGTGCCGTTCTTAATTGTCAAGTAGCTCATATGGAACCATTGTGAGAATTCTGCTTTCAAGGAAAATGATGTTATAGATATTTCCTATTGTAGTTGGTATTTATACTGTATGGTTGTTTCCATCCTTGCAAAAATCTGTCCAAAAAAACCCAAATTACAGATTTATAAGTCTGTCATTTACTAACAGTAGCTGTGACTTTCCCCACTTTCCCCAGTATTACAGTTGAATTTGTTTCTTTTGGAGGTATTTCTTTTGTCAGCATAGAGATTACTTCTGTTGCTTGTTCTAAGTTTTGCTGTTTACAGTCTCTTGATGCACTTTTCCACAGGTAAATCATGGAGGTGACACAGAGAAAACAATTTGTGTCATAGATGAGATTGGTAAAATGGAACTCTTCAGCCAGGCTTTTATTCAAGCTGTTCGTCAAACGCTGGCTGGCTCGGGCATTGTGGTACTTGGAACTATTCCAATACCTAAGGGAAAGCCACTGGATCTTGTTGAAGAAATAAGAAGTAGGAAAGATGTTAAAGTGTTCAATGTGAGTAATATTTAATATCCTTAAAGAGCCTTCTGTTCTAGGTTACTGGTTTATATTTGGCTCTGTTTAAAAACTGTTACTGCCAGTTGATAGCTGTGGGTAGCTTGCATGAAATAAGTTTTTTTAGTTTCCATTTTATTCTTAATGGGCAGGTGTTCACCTTATAAAAAAAAAAATCCCATTTGGCACGTACTGTAGCAGTCTCACACAGCTGGCTTTGCATGTGAGGGGCTGCAGAAGTAATGATATAGTTGTTTTAAAAGGTTTCTTTGCTGTAGTATTGTTGTATAGGTATTCATTATTCGTGAGAGTTAAATCTTTTTAAGTACAGTCAGATTTTTAAACTTTCTTGGTTTTTTTCCAGACTGGCTTGCAGAAATATTACCAGTAGTCGTATTTAAGGAAAAAATAAAAGGAAAAAAGGGATCAGTGGAGTTTACAGGAATGATTTATAGAAGAAAGACAGTTGTAAATGGAGCATACTTTCTCTGGAGTCAGTGAACCAATTTTGAAATTCATGATGTTACATTTACAGACATAATTTTTAGAATATTAGGGCCTCAGAGTACTTTTCTGATCAGTTACAGGGCTGTTCTCGAAAACTTAGCACAGCAAAACATAGCCTGTTCTTAGGAGTGCATGTGTGAGGTTTCCTTAACATTAGTGTCCTCCATGCTTCACAAAAACAAAGGCACCTCTCACTCCTTTGATTTATGTTGTTTTCTGTTCAAAGCTGGCTTAAAAACCTGCAGTGCTCAAAGTTCCTCAGCTTTCCTTTAATTGAGGATCCCATCGTCATCTTCAATTTATGTTTTTATATTAAATGCTGATTTAATTAAATGCTAAAGCAACTGTAGGAGCAAAGATGAGAGATTATTCCTTTCCTTCCATTCAACTCCCTTCATTCCTTTTAAAGACAATCCACCAGGTTTTTCCACTGCCGAGCTGATGTGCATTTGTAGTCAGGCTGTTGAACAGAAATGCAAGTAAATTGGAATTTTGTATGAGTTGCTTTACAGGGGTAGGAGTGGGGAAGAGGGGATGGAGAAGCCTTGCAGAAAGTACCAGTCATTAAATGCTTAGGCCACAGTCATGGCAGGACAGTGGTATGTGCATTTGGTCCTCTCATGGGAGGAAACGGGGCTAGAAGGCAGCATTTGGCTTTTCAAGGAAACTTTTGAGGCTTCTACTGTCTCTTTTATCAGATGATATTGAGAGGGCATGGGCTACTCAGCCCTAGGTTTCCAGCTGTATCAGGCTGCTGATAAATCTTACTCTCAAGTACTGACTCCAGCCAGCAAAAGTCTTTCTGTAAATTTCAATGGAGTAGTGTTTTCTCTAGCTAAAATGTCTTTACTAAAACAATGACCCATCCTGTTAACGCTGCTGAGATTGAAACATGCAGGTTTCTTTAATTAAGTAGAGATCTCTGGGGAATCCATTAATCAAAGCATGGAGGTGAAGTGTGTGACAGACTGCAGTCATTCCCAGGTGTCACAGACCTGCTAAGCTGAAGTCTTGTGCAGGAGAACATCTGTCTCACTTGCTCCAGTGACACACTACATGCTCTTTCCCAGCTGGATAAAATGTATGCATGAGCAGGAGCAGAACCTGCCCGTGGGAAGTCAGAGGTGTTAGTAGCTGAAGTGGATACTGGGTCACCAGGTATGTTTTTCAAGGGCTGTGGCATGGGGAAACCTGGAGTGCCCAAATAGCTTACAGTCAGTAATTTCTTACTAACTTGGGTGGTGCCTGGAAGTGTACAGAAGTAGGTGGCTACCTTCCAAAAGCATTCTGCCTGCTTTGTCACTTAATAGGGAGTTAGGCTGCATTCAAATAGCTCATCTCAGTTTTTTCATCCTGCTCCTAGTGTCACAAGGACAATTCTGATGAGAGAACAGCTGTTCAGTGTTTTACAGTCCCTTCTGTCTTGAAAGCGTATTTTGTTGGTGTAAGTGGGCCCAGATGCCCTAAAAGCAATTCAGCATTTGGTCCCAAATGTTTAGTTTATTATGTTTAGGGCACTTAACGATAGGAGCTCTGATATTCAACACATTTGTTTCTATTGTTGCCCAGTTCCATTTTGCTGAGAACTAAACTTTCCAGTGGAACTACAGAGGCTCTTTTTGCACTACCTGCGTCTATGTAGTTTTGCAGATATGGTGGCATGAATAGGATCAGGTTATCCTTAGCAGCTGGCAGATATTAATTTTCTCCCATTTTCCCATCCAATAATTTTGCTTGCACGAAAACCATTAGTGAAGAATGGCTGTATATGCCTATTAAGAAACAAAATAGTTAAATGGATAGGGAGAAGAAAAGGTTCCATTTGAATAGATTGTACATGAGTGGTTTCCTTGACGGTATTTTTAAGTTAGAAAGCTTTTGTCCTCTATAGTTGCCTGCTTGGAATCTAGGTGGTAATTTCCTCCAAATTACATAAATGCTTAATATAAGCAGCATCTACAGTTATTTTCAACTCCTTTCTAAAAACATACCCATCTGTTTGTACATTCAGTACAGATACTGGGAGATTTGTTCTCTCTGGGAAAGCTGCCTGCACAGAATGTCTCCAGATCTTAAGAGGAGACTTATATCTATCAAACAGCCTTTGTAAAACAGTTGTGAAAATTTCCTAGCACTTGGCACTTTCTCCCTGCTGTTCTCACTGGACTTCTGGCATATAGGTATGGAAAAAGGATAGATAAAATGTAGTATTGTTTTTGTTGGCTGTGAGAGTGGGAAGAGCTATTAAATGTGCAGAAGGTCCTTTGAAAGTCAGGATATCAGCGCACTTGCTGCAAGATTTAGAGTTTGGCTCATCTGTGCTGAGTATTGTTTACCTCGGGGTCCCAGTAACCTTACTGAAGAGCATTCTTTGTTGTCTTGCTCTTTGTTTTTTGTGGGGGTTTCTGTTTATCCTATAAAGCTTGGACTGATTCTCAGTAAAAGCAGTGATATTTTCAGACAGATCTTCATTTTCATTACTCTCTCCTTCTTTTTTTTCGTCAGTGTCACTTTTTCATTAGTCCCATGTTGATCTGCTGTGTTGAATTCAGTAGTAGGTGAGACTACTGTCTGTAGTTTTACAGTCTGTTTACAGCACTTGGATAGGATGTGTGTGACTGTAAATAGTGGTAGGCTCCTAGGGCCAAATTCCTCAGATAGAGCTGTCACCTATTTAACAACAACAATAATAATAGTAATACTTTCTCCTGTTCATTATTGACTGTAGTACTGGAAGGCATACAAACTCTTGGGCTCACATCCTAAATGCAGATATAGGCAGTGCAGTGGAACCTTGCTGGTAGAGTTTTATGCTGTGCATGGTGTTTTGTCTCTTTCCTCATCAAACAGCTTTTCTTTGTATGAATGCCCTTACTTATTTTTTCAGTTCATGTGTCTTTGTCTGATTTCTTCCTGCCCTCTCTGCAGGGATCTGAACAGTGGGGAAAATTTCTTAGGCTTTTTGAAATGAAGCTTTTGCTGATGCTTCACAGTTGCTCGTTACCCTTTTGCAACCTCACTCATCTCCCCAGGTTTTGTTTGAGTGAGTAATGCATGGCACTGTGGATCACAGGGCTCTGGATCAGGACCCAGTCTGTCAGGGAGGGATAATTTACACACACACACTGTGCCCCTGGGAGCTGAGCTGACTAGCAAGTACCAGCAGTTGCTTGGCAGTTTACAGTCATCTGTATCCACATACGCTGGACTTAAAGCCCAGCATTCCCATGGACTGCTCAGCCAAAGGCATATCTCATTGTGCTGCAGAACACCCCAGCTTTCTCAAATAGTTTTATTTCTTTTCTAAGGTGTTTCTCTCCTGTACCAATAAGGTTATTCAGAGTACAGAGTTATGCTGCTAAGTCTGTTTTAATTTGTTTTCTTTGCAGATGTTTTTGACTAGGTCTGCCATCTTAATAAATACAACCCTTTCAAGTAATGAAGGCATAAGAACTCCACTTTATAGTAGGAAAGTTAAATTTGGTAGTTGAAAAGAATTTCTAGTAATGACAAAAGTACATGCTGGTTCTTTGCATGTTTCTTCTTAGTTACTCAAGCACTGAATAATACTGCAAAATACAACAGGCAATTAAATCAAAAGATCACTAAATATTCAATTGTGGCTTTTGTGGGTTTAGCATACTGTGTTCTCTGTAGCAGAAAAAGGCAGGTGTTTGACACAACATTCCTGCACTGTAAAAGAAATGCATTGGAATTTCTGCTTTGATTGTTTTTGAAGTAAATGCTGGTATAGAAGTTATTAATGAAATTATATCAGTTTTAATTTCTCCTTCTCTAGGTTAGTAAAGAAAACAGAAACAGCATTTTGCAAGACATCTTGGCAGCTGTGGAATCCTGCAGAAAATGAAGACGTTTTCGGTCCTGTAAACACTAATGCTTTCATTTCAACAAAACATTACAACATTTTGTGGATGGTTTAGAGTCTGTCCTTCCTGCTTTAGTCTCCTGTAGGCTTTACTGGAGCCTTCAGGGTAAGCAGGGTAAAGCTGGTAATACTCTAAAATGGGATTGCAGGATTGTAATTTATTCAGATCACTGAATTAAAAAAATTGAACAGATGTGTATCTAACATCCATTTCTAATCTGGATGTTTGGAAGTTAGGTGGTCAACTCTGATCTGAGTTACCTCATGTGAAAACAATTAACTGTACAATCTGTTTGACATCTTAGTCTTTCTGAGTGTGTTTGACTGTTCTGCCTACAGATCAATTCAATATCTGCAACATAGCCCTGGTGCAACAGAACAGAACCCTGTCCAAAATGTGTATGAGTCCTGCCTGGTTTATGTGGGAATATTTAGCTGTTGGGGACCCAGCTTAGGTATGTTCAAGTGTGTTTTAGTGTGGGTACTGACAAATCAGCAGGTAGAGGGGAATAAGCAGATATGCTCTCTCCTCCTATTCCCCAGGCACCCCTGTCTGCAGTTGCAGTGTAAGAAGGGTTATCCAGAGTTACAAGGAAACTTCCCATAGTCACAAGTGACATGTACAGAATTCCATTTTGGGAGGAAAAATAGCCAAATCTACGCTCTCTTACATGGCCCAGACACTAATTGATAAGAAGACTGCATTTTGAATTAATTTTCAATTTTTCTGGTGGCAGTCCTGTCCCACACCTCCTTACAAATAATATATATAAAAATCTTCAAGTCCATGAAGTTCATCACGTCTTGTTTTTTTCATGCTGAGTTTAAGCCATGATTGACTAAATACTGCATTTGTCTGTATTAATTTTACAATCTGTTATGTTTGTTGATACTTTTGTTTGTTTGGGTTTTTTTCCTTATTCAATTCTATACATGCTTAATGGTGAAAGAGGTGTTTGAGAAAATTAGACAATGTGTTCCCCTGTGAGGAATGTAAATGTGTTCAGCAAAAGTGCTGCCAGTTAATCAGTTTTGCATGTTGTGAAAACAGAATTCCCTCCCAGGTGCACACTGTTGTTCATTGTAAAATTTATGGTCATCTCTGTCTGAAGAAAGTTGTTAAAAATTCAGTTGTTTCTTGACTTTTTTTTTTGTTCAGTTCAATGACTGTTAAAATGAGCAAACTATTTAAAGGCATCTTGAAGTATCATTCTCTTGATTTATTTCTGTAAAACTGACACCCAGAGTTGTATAGGTCTGGGTGGGGATAGGTATTTTTACACACGCCCTGCAAACACCTCCTAGGAGCACGGAAGGAATGTCCTTTTTCTCTCCTGCATGCAGGACAAGGGTCTGGTACAAGCTTTGCACCTCCACAGGGGGTAGGAGGTGCAAGCTGTGTTAAAGGATGCCATGGGCTCATTCCCTCACTGCCTTGTTAGGACTACCCATCTGCCCAAATCCTTTTGGATAGTGGTACTCTCTTCATCATAATTGGGAAAAAGAAAACTCCTCTTAGGTTCTCCACTTGACAATGTACAGCTCCTGGCTGCTTTTTGCAGAATGAGGTTGTGCCTTAAAGACACACTAATCTCTTCATTACTTCAGGCATTCTACTCGGACAAAACGCCTTTTTAGATGGGGAGGACTTGGGACCAGAGTAAACTTTGGCAGGGCTATATGCCATAGGTTTTTGAGCAGAAACCTCTCTGCACCTAAGTGTTGGATGCCCTCCTGTTTCAAGGTTAAGTCTCTTAAGATGTAAAATATACTGCAAAAGAATAGTTCTTTCAATGATTAAAGAGTTACCCAAAATCTAGCACAGTTTTAGTGGGACTGCTATTGAGTCTTAAATGAGGACTGACCTTAAAAGCTAATTAAAAAATGGAGATTTGACACTCCTCTGGTAGGGGCCAAGGAGGAGAGTTCTGTTAGGAGTCAGTCTTCTGAATTCTGGTTCAGCCAGAATTGCTGAGAGATCACTTAAAGTGGTGTTTTTTCCCCATAAAAGTAGATATATTGCTCTGCATGTTGTGCCATGATGCCTACTGTAGTCCCATCATTTAGTAGAGTAGGGGAAAAAAACCCCAAACAATTACACCAAGAAGTTTGGGGAACTTTTGATCAGTGCTAATAGTACTTTTAATCCATCACATGGTTCAAGGAAGACCTTTTGTACTGAGGCTAGACAGTCCCTAGAAAATGCAGGTGGATTTTTCTTCTCTGTAACCGAGTGAAATATCAGCCCTTTTAAACGAATGCATATTTTTGCTGCTGACATCAGTGTGTCTTGTTTTCCTATCTCAAGATCGGTGAGTGTCATTAATTTGTTGTCCTTTTTCTAAGCCTGCTTTCTCTCTGAGCTAGAGTGCTTCTCAAGAGAAATAAAGAGAGATTCTGTGATCTGTGTTCAGCAGGAGAATGTAGATGACCTTAACAGTCATGTCTGGCCTTTAAATCTCAGATGGTCCTGAAGATACGATTTGCCTGTTTCAAATATACATTGAGTGAGTGAGAAAGTTGTATTTCCAACTGCATGTAAGTTTTTATGACAACCTGTGTTTACTTTAAAGGTAAAAATTTATTGTCTGGTCTTGCACTAGTAAAATACTTGCAAGGCCTTGAGAGCACTGTAACAGCAAATGGAGCATTCAAAATTCCCCTGCTGGGCTGATTTTTATTAATAGCACATATTTGGTGAAAAGCACCTCTGATGTACCAGCTAGATTCCAGATGACAACATTAGTGCACCTGCAGGTTTTAATTGGTGCAAAAAAGGGGAGAATGTGAGGTACCAATTACTGTCTCGAAGCCTGAGAATCAAGGATGTTTTTGGCAACAAGTGTTGTAATTCCAGCATAAAATTGCACACAGCAGGGAATAAATAGGGCCTGCATTATTTGTCATGCATTAGGCAATTTTTGACTTGTAAAACTGAGTGAGAAAGGTGAATCTTTGATACTGGGCCTACTGCAAAGCTAAATATAAGTAATATGTCTGCGTTGCAGATTTAAGGATGTACAAGCACTAGTGAAACATGGTGATTAAATACTATCTCGTAATCTAAATATGGCAATAAAATAATATTTAAAAAAAATATTGAAAAGAAGATGATTGTCACATGCTGGAGAATCTCACTGGTAATTCTAATCTTTTATAATGAGCTGCACAAAATTCAGCTAGTCTTTAACAAAATTTTCCAGTAAGAGAAGAGCCATCAGTTGGTTGGCTGGAGACAAATGCAAATGACATTTTCTTGCCTTATTCTAATAAGCAGTTTTTATAAAAAGCTGTGAATGACATCACAGAGAGTCCTAAGATTCATAGATATTGAGAGTATCTAGTCATCATGCCAAGGGAAAAAAAAAAAAATCACATTGGTAAGTCCTTTTTATTGAGATTTGTCTTCAGTGCAGTGCCAAGATTTTCTGCCTATGGCAATGAGGTGAGACTTTGCAACAAGAACTTCAGTTCCTCACAATGACAGTACAAAATGGAGGGAACAGCCAGCACCTCTGGATTTTATTTTTGGATGAACAGGAATGAACTTTGCAGACTACGTCCATCACTGGCTCTTGCTTGCTGTGGTGACAAACAACTGGGCTGAAGGCCAGGCTGGGGCTTGCCAGTGCTCCTGGTGGATGTGAGCTGTTCAAGCACTCTGTGCTTGGCTTTAGTAAAAAGTTACTGGGAGTCTTTTTGCCAGATCTTCAGGCCATGTTTCACCATTACAAGTGTGGCAACTGGCTTTTACTGTATGATGTAAACAAGAGCCTATATGGGAAAGGAAATTTTAGGAAAATAAAATATGAGGGAGGTAAGTATCCCATGCTCAGTGCAAAGGCTGAAGTACTGTGTTTGTACTTGTTTTACCATATAATCGGTATCCTCCCTGCTATAATCTGCTCTACTCTTCGTGTTCCTCTCTGGTTGCTGAGACAGTGTGGATGAAATCACTCCTAGTGTTTCTTTTCAGCAGTGGTGATGTTATCTGAGGCTAAGCTGGGGAGAGGCAGAAGAGGCCTCCATCTCTTCATCCCTTTTGACTTTTCTATGAAGGAACTGCATGTACAAATGGTCTTGTGGATTGAGCACTTGATTTCCTTAAAGGATGCATTCAGCTTGCTAATAAGATGGGAACATCACTATTTTCATGCTGTAGAAACAAAAACATTTGGACTGGCTGAATGAGGTAAGTGGCCTCTGCAGCTCTGCAAAAATCAAGCATAGCACCTGATGCAAAAAACCCTGATGGAACTCTTGATAAAAGGTCCTTACATGGTGGTAGTGTTGGCATCCTTCCTGCATCACTAGAGACAGACATGTAGGCAAACTGTTAAGCCTGAGCAACTTTAGGGCCAAGTTTTAACAGTATTCAGCATGGTGCAACCCATCAGCAGGATCAGAGATGACATAAAAGAATGAAAATCGCATATGATTTTCATTTAAAGGCCAAAACCTGCCCCAAAAGTGGCGTACTTCACCTTGCAGCTCTGAGGCACTTCATGTGTGAAGTTAAGTATCAAGCTATTTTTCAGGAATAAAGATATGACTTCAAAGCCTTCATGTGCATGTAGGCACTGGTGCTGAGGAGTCAGGAGCCTTCTGGTGTTATGCAGAGCTATTTGGAGCAGCTCATTGTTCTAATTAGGCCTTGTGTAGAGGTTAGGTTCCTATTTATTAGCTTAATGTGCATCAGGGCCTTCTGTCACAAGCAGAGTTAACTGAGTGTATCTCTACCTCATGCAAAAATGGGGGAAGTCTAAGATATCTTTAGTCCATACAACCTCATGCCTAGTTGCAGGTTTCATTTCTAACCATTATGTCAGGACTGGCTCATATTTTCAACTGCTGTATATAGCAGTAGTCTTATTATTTTAACAGCAGACTATCTCCAAAAATACAGTGAATGTAACATGGGAGAGTTTTCTCATTTTGACTCTTTTTCTCTTACGTTACGCTTGTTAGTGGTCACTCGGGTTTTTTCAACCCACTATGCTACAATAGCAACTTGAAGGCAAAATAAAAACTGTGTAAGACATGGCTACAAAAAAGGAACAGATTTTTGAATCTTACCTGGACTCCTGTTTTGCCAACTTGCTCGCTGTGACTCCACAAAGGTGTTAGAAGCCTTCTGTCCTTTCTGGCAGCCACCCTGTGCAGCAGGAGTCTGGACTTCATGGCACAGCTGCTATCCCCAAGGAGTTATGCTCCAGGGGACAGTGGCTTGGACTAAGGAACTGTGAGGCAGCTGCATTATTTTAGGATGCAGTACCAGAGAGATGTGGAGATCACAGAGTCTTGCAGAAGATTTTGAAGTGCTGTCACTGGGCCTCAATCCTTGCTAAGCAAATACAATGGTTGCTGCTGAAGGGATTTGTGCAGTCATTCCTCAAGCTGGTTTAGTATGCTTGAGTTGGATATACAGAATAATTTAGGTTTATTGGGACTACTAGAATTACTTATTTTTGATAGAAATTGATTCAAATTTAAAGATGTGAAAATTGGAGGGCTAAGTGATGCTAGGTGAATATGGGAAAGTTCTCGGTGCTTTTATGTGCCCTGCCTCCATGCAAGAAGACAAAGCTGTGATGGTTTATCCTGTGGACTGCCACGCAAAAGCCCCCAAAGCAGAAATGGGGCTGGTGGCTGTTAATAGGAGCCTTCATTTGCAGTGAAACACTTCATGAACAGTGTGGTGGGACAAGAGTCATCATCTGCCAGAACTGGTCAGAAGGGAGCAGTTGAAGTCAATGTCTTCTTCCACATTTCACCTAGATGCTAGAGGAGACATTAGTAGGGCCTAAACTGCACTTATGACCACGTGTCTAGAGGGCTGTATATGAATACTCTGCTTTTGTCATTGTGAACATGAGCAGAATTTTTCCTAGATTGTGCTAAGCTTTATTAATAGTCAAGTCATCAAGATCTGAAGTGAACTAAAGAAGAACAGGTTTCTTAATATTTTAAGGCAGAACACAAGTGAAAACAATTGCAAATAGAACACCCAGAAACTGCTGCCGCACAAAGCATACTTGGATCATTTTATTTTCACTCAGTCTTATTTAGTTCTACTACTCAGATCTGAAGTGTGGCACAGTAGGAAGCTCAGAATGCAACTGAGTATTGCCTAACAGCAATGAGACTTAGCTACAGCATCTCTTGTTAAATCTTGTTAATTGGGACAAGACAGCCTGGCTGCACATC